TCCACCACCACTCTCTGGGTGCAGTCCCTAAGCCAGTTGGCCACCCGCCTGACCATGTAGGCGTCCACTCCACAGTCTGCTAGCTTCTCAATGAGGACAGGGTCTGAAACTGTGTCAAAGGCCTTCCTAAAATCCATGACGATGACATCAGCCTCAGCTCCCGCATCCAGGCAGTGTGTGACCTGGTCATAGAAGGCTACAAGCTTTGTCAGGCAGGATCTACCTGTGACAAACCCATGCTGGTTTCCCCTCAGCATCGTTTCCCCTGCTGGGCCTGCATAAATGTGTTCTTTGATTATTTTCTCTAGCATTTTCCCAGGAATAGAGGTAAGACTGACTGGTCTAAAGTTACCCGGCTCATCCCTTCTCCCTTTCTTGAAAATGGGCACCACATTGGCCCTTCTCCAGTCCTTAGGGACCTGGCCGGAGCACCATGAGTGCTCGAACAGCTGTGCCAGCAGCTCAGCTATGACTGGCCAATTCTTTCAGCAGCCGTGGACGGAGGTCATCCGGGCCTGCTGACTTGTACCCATCCAGCTCCTCCGGGAGCTCCTTAACTATTTCAGAACTATGTATGGATCTGTCTACGTGTGGATCTATATGTGGCACTGCTACGTGCAGCAGAGGGCACTGTCTATGTGCTGCACGGGGACTAGGCCCAGCAGCACCAGGCAGGGGAGGCCGCATTGGAGGCAGGTTGTTTCCGGGATCCTGTCATTCCTTCCTGCACAGAAAGGGGCTGAAGCCGAGCTGAGCTCAGTGTTCCCAGCCCCAGTCACTGCTCTGACCCCACAGGGCAGTGATCAGAGAGGAGCTGAGAATCTGGCACCAGGGGCTACTGTTTAACCTCCAGCCAGGTTACTGGACCAGGGCAGTCACTGTTGTTAACCTCCAGCCAGGGCTGTCACTGTACTTGGTCCACATGGACAGTGAAGGAGAATGGGCCCAAAGACTTCAGGGTGTAAGGTCATCTCATGCCGGGAACACCCCCAGGCCAGGCCAGACCAAAGGCCCACAGCCCCAGCACTCAGCACCTTGCTCGTGTGGGAGGGAGACCCCTGGTTGCCGTGGCAACAGTGCTGCTCCCTTCACTGTGACATCACAATCCCAAGTCTCAGTGTCAGGCACGGCTCCTCCCAGTGCTCTTGTGACCTTCGCCAGAGCCAGTTGGCCATTGTAGTCGCTCATGTTTTCAGTCATTTCTATTCTCTAGAGTTAGTTGCTTAGTTTTGTAGTTGGTTAATTAGTTTGTTAGTTCATTAGTTAGTTCATTAATTAGTCAGATCATTTGTTCATTAGTTAATTAGTTCATTAGAACATTAGTTAGATAGTTAGTTAGTTACACATTTGTTGACAGTCTTTAATCCGAGTGTCGGAAGTGAGCACTGGTTGGAGACATGAGCGCCCTTTCTCATTCAGCCATGGGGGCAGCACTGGGGACACCGCGCGGCCCGTCATGGGGACTTTTGGAAGATGTGGCAAGTTGTCAGCAGGAGCTCAGATTGTGCAAGGGCCCAGGACTCGGCCCCATGCCTCGTCCCTGCTCTTGGCAGTCAGTTTCCTCTTTCCCTCCTTCAGCTCAGGGGCTGTGCTTGTTTGCAGATGCTCCGGCAGAAGAAGCTGCCACCAGTGTGCCTGCCCTCCTGCAACCTGGGTGAGACCCCTCCCCCCTGCCATGGGAGCAACGAGGGTTGGGCAGCACAAGAGGCTTCAGGGCTGTATGGCCTCCCCTCCCGGCAGGGTTTGCCTGGCAGGTCAACCCCACGCTGCCCCAGGTCCAATCTGGACAGCCCTGGCTCCATGCCCCACCCAGCTGTCACCCCCTGCTCTTCACCAGCAAGTTCCCTAGGGAAGGGGAACAGGACTGGCCCCCATGGGTCCTGGCCCTGCAGCCCCTGCCCATGGCCCTGCCCTGATAGTCTTCCCCCAGGCAATGGCCCTGCTCTCCTCTGCTCCCTTGCAGGGTGGGGCCCAGATAGGTTTTGGGATCCCCATCCTCACAGTGGTGCTCAGTCCCACCCAGCCTGATGCGCAGCCCTCATGTCCCCTCAGCACCAGATGCCACCCTGGGCACAGACAAGTGGACAAGAGCAAAACTGCCCCCATTAAGGGGTCTCCATGTTTACCCTCTGTGGGTGAAGGCCAGGAGAGGAGGGACCCTGCACCCAGTGAGTTTGGCCTGAGCTGGGGAAGGGCTTGTGTGGTTGCATGGGGAGGTGGCAAGGTCTCTGCAGGAGGGCACCCCACTCTCCCTCCTCTGCCTCCATTCCCAAGGGGCTGAGCTGATCCAGCCAGGAGACCCCTCCCCAGCCTTACTGCTCCTCATCCCCTTGTCCCCTGAGACCCAACCCCTGTCAGTGGTATTTGCATCTTGGGCAACCAGCCATGTCCCTGGGGTCACGTAAGGGACCAGACCTGCCCCCTGGAGGGACTTCCACCTGACCCCCGTGGAGGAAGACCCTGCTCTTGTGGCATGCAAGACTCCTGGCAGGTGCCCCCACATGCTGTGTCCCAGGGGGGCTGGTCGCTCTGAGCCCTGGCAGCAGAGAGGACCCAGCTGATGCACGGCCCCTTGTTTTCCATCAGGACCAGGAGCAGTGCTGGGGGCAAGTCCAGGCAGCGATGCAAGGGGCCAGATGTGGCCACACCCACCCACTGCAGTGAGTCTTTCCCCTGCCCAGGGTGTGGGAGGGGCTGATCTGGGGGTCAGGGGTCTCTCCCCAGGTTCCCCGTGCCCCTCCCAGCCCCATGCAGCACACGAGACCCCGGGGGGGAGTCTTCCTCTCCTGTCAAGTCCATGGGCCCTCCAAGAATAAGAGGGGGTAGTGAGCTCATTTCCTTATCACAGGGACAGTCCTTCCCAGCTCAGAGTGTCTGAGGGGACCTGGGACCTTGAGCTGGGAGGTGGGGACTCACCTGAGACAGGTGGTAACAAACAACCCCTGGGATCCCCAGGGCCCAGGTCTATGAGCCCTGCCCAGCCCCAGGGCTCTGGGGGCCATCAACCCGGCATCATGGGGAGATGAGGAATTCACTGCCCAAGGGAGTCCATTGCCCCAGCCGCTCTTTCCTAAGCCAGCAGGAGAAACCTGGCAGCGGGTATTGCTGGCAGCTGATGAGCAGGTCCCAGCCAGGGTGGGGGGGAGCTGTGAGGGAGACCAAGTGGGCTGGCTGATGGCTGCATGGAGGGGTGGACCAGAGGGACAAGCCTGTGGCTGGGCTGGGGGATGAAGGGTGAACGCAGGGCCAGAGGGACAGATGGGGGCAAGAGGTGGCTGTGTGCGCAGACAGACAGGCAGTGGTGTGAGGCTTCTCTAACCTGCACTGTCTCGTTTGCTGGCAGCTGGAGCTGAAGGCGCTTCATGCCTGACTGGCACAGCAGGAGCAGGATGTGGAAGTCCTCCTGTCCTGGTAGGTGTGGGGCTGGGGAGGGAGCTGGCTGTTCCAGTTGTGAGGCACAGGGGTCGGGGCAAAAGCCCAGGGCCTGTCCCTTCTTCTGTGTTAGTCTCTCCTTGGGGAAGGGGTGTTTTCTGGGATGGCGCTGTCAGTCTCTCTGAGCCCGGAAATGTTTTTTGTCTCCACAGTGCTCGGCAAAGGGAGGAGCAGCTCCTGGTGAGTTTAGGGGTGGCAGAGGCCAGAAGGGCCATGGGGTAGGGCAGGGAACAGGCTGAGACTGAGCTTGACCAGGCAGGGTAGCATCCGAGAGGATGTGAAAGCAGGGAACAGAGTCCTGACACATTGCGTGTGGGGAGAGGTAGGGCTTGATGGGTGCTTAGGGAGGTAACGCTGTAGGGTTCAGAGGCCCAATACGCTTGGTGCAGCCATGGACATGGTCTGATGGGCTCACACATGCTCAAGTGAAGGACCTGAGGCTCCTTAATCTCTCCCTGGTGCTGGCCCTCAAGGCCCAGAGGGAGCAGGGCCAGGCTGTGGACGACAGCCCCACAGAGGTGAGCCGCTCTGCATGCCCCTGCCCCAGGGGGGAAGGTGAGCGTATGTGCGCACAGGGCAAGGCTGTACCTCTGCTGTGCCAGGCCCTGCAGTAGAGGGGCAGGGTGTTGCCCTGGCTCTGTAGGTGGAGGGCTTGTGTGTGCAGTGCTGGGCACCATGTGAACTTTGTGGATGTCCCACTGTGGGACCGGTGGGGTGACATGTCTGTGCTGCACTGACCTCCCCTGCTTCGTGGATTGCTCTCCCCTCCCCCAGCCTCCCCCCATACTCCGCCAGGTGCCAGCTCTGGGCCAGGGAATGGAATTTGTCCTCATTGCCATTTTGCTTTTTCATTTATAACAGCCTCCCATGCATGTGGAGGGGATGGATGGGCAGTGCTGGCCACCCTGGAGGGAGTAAGTCGGGAACAGGGAGGGGAGGGTGAGGTGTGAGGCTCTCCTGGGTAGCTTGTGAGCTCTGGGGCAGGCTATGGCACATTGCAAGTGGTGCTTTTTGCGAGGAGGAGAGTTGTTCCTTCTCTGGTGCTAGAGGGGATGAATTCAGTCCAGGAGCCATTTCTGACCAGTTCCTTTTTGTGCAATCAGGAGCATTAGCTAGCCCCTTCCAGGAGAAGGCAGCAAGGTCCCAAACCAACCTGCCCCCTACTGCAGCACCCAGATAGAGGGCCCCCAACATTAGCATGCCAGCAGCTAGACCAGGGCCCTCTGCCTGGCTGATGTGGGGGTGAACCCCTGGCAAAGACAGCAGCGAGCACCCAAACAAAGGCTTGTTGTTGTCCAAAAGGAGCAGGACATGGGGAGAGGTATGGTGCTTTTCGTACTGTTAGTTTGTGAACCCTGGGCTCCAAGGTGGATGGGACCTGGGTGATGATCAGAGCCCCTTCTGCCTCCAGGCAGGTCAGGATGCCCCGTGAAGCCCATCCCACAGGGTGCCAGTGCCCTGTACCAAGCAGTTGAATCCTGTGTCAGTCCCTCATGTCTGGGCTTCTGGATCCCATACTCAGGCAGCATGGGGGCCACATCCTGGAAGAGGATTGCCCCCAGGCTGTATGAAGCCTCAAGAAGCTGGTGGAAGAGGTCAGTGGTGGGCTCGTGCACACCAGGACATAGTGTCCTGGTCCCTTCTAGCTCCGTCCATGTCCTCCCAAGGCATCCTCACAAGGATCGCAACCGTGACGTGATGGAAAGGGGCTTGTCTGCTATCATTGACGTTGAGAGTGTTGTTGTCTGCGGTTTTGTACTTCTGCTAGGGTCACCCGTGTTGGCAAGGTAGAGACCAAGCTTGCCAGGCTAATAGTGATCCAAAAATAAAGATAAAAGCCATTGATTGTGGAGCATGCAGATGAAGCAAGAATATTTTACGATGGCAGCAGAGGTAGGCTGCAGCAGAACAGAAATCTTCAGTGCTCTCGGTTTTTCTTGGCATGGGAGTCAGGTTTCCTTCCTGTGAAGTACTGTCTGGTTGCTTATGCGCCATTTCATCCCCACGTTAAAAGAAGATGTGCACAAGCCTCTTGCTTCAATAGAAAGTCTCACAGTGATGTGTGAGTGTCAATGGGGGCAGACGCTTGCAATTACCAGAAGCCCCTAGTCATGGACCTGCCCATCGTCACGGACCTGTATGTACAGAGACAATGACTGTATGATGGTTATTTTGTCAGCAATTATGACTGAGCAGGCCTATTCAGATGAACACTCTGCTATCCTGCATGTGGAGGACACTAGAAAAGGCACCTTCAACAGCCCGTGTCATGTCACCTGCCTGGGATCCATCCATCCAAGTCAAGTACTGAGGTTTGCAACCTGGACTGTCCACACTCTGGTACACAGCACGAACAGCGCCCAACTGGATCGAAGGATAGCACTTGTGCCCAGAGCTGCATGGATTTCTTTTCCTGAACAAGTGTGCACAGTATAATCTAATCATCACAAAGCAACCGAATAAACCATTGAAACTTATGACAAGTACCTGCAGATGCACTCATGTTCCTTGGCTGTCTCTTCTATCTCATACCCCTCCTCATCTTCAACATCAAGAGGCTAAATAGTCTACAAAAAACTGCCCATATTCAATTCACTACCAATTTTTGAGGAACTTGATGACCCCCATATGCCAAGGCTTATGTCGAAGAAGGCCATTTTGGAGTGTAGGAAAAGAACTGAATCATGAAAGCTTTGATATCAAGGAAAATGACCCAGTGATTCAAGACAATTGACCTCCATTATACATTTCTTACCATGGACCCCACATCTAACCCTCCTGGCTTTGCTTTACTAATGCAGAGCTGGACTACGTTGAACAAGGAGGACAACTAGCTACTTTGTAAATGGAATTTTATTAAAGACGCCAAGTTTGAGTGTGGTGAGATCCAAACTGTAGCACGTATCATGGAGGAATGTCCTGTTTATCTTCTTAACGATTGTATTGAAAACCTGCACCAGGCGGCTGCTGCTGCTGCTGACTTGCCATGGATATCGTACCTAAAACTGTCACTCTAGTCTTAACCCTTAGTGCCATTGCTTAGAGCTTGTTCTGCTATTCAGTTGCTGTATCCATCTGAATAAATCACAAAGCAACAAGTGGAAGCCATTGTGCAAGCACCCCTGCTCAAAACCCTGGCACCTAACTGACTGTATGCTAGTGCATTGCAAAGTCCACCTCAGCACAGCCATACTGCCACAGCCAACTGTCATAACGGCCGCAGCAGATGCGCTCACGTCGCGGCCTGCTCTGATTTGAACCATCGGCAGATTCTGCTGAATCCCTGTCATCAGCCATCTCGGGTGGGACACGAGAAGAAGATGAGAAGACCAGCCCCAAAGGCTCCTGGATAGATCCTTGTTTGATAAGTTCCAACATGTCTATCTGTGCGGCCACAACGTGATGTCAACAGAAGAAGCAACCAAAGAAGAGATTCAATCTCAAGTGCCTGAAAAACCCTGCTAAGAGACATCACCTCCAGCAGTGCCTCAGAGAGAATCGTGCCAACTGCCCTGATGCTCTTGGCACCACTGATCACTCGAGGAAGAGCGAGAGCTTCAAGAAAGGCATCCGTGAGGCATGCCAAAAATCTTGAGGCTTCTCCACAAAGAAACGTGAGGCCTGGTTCAGTGAGAATGACTGGGAAGTTCTTGCCTTCAAAATGGACAGAGCACACAGGGACATCAACTCCAAATAGAAATATCTACATTCGTGGCCTTCAGTACAGACAATTCACTCAACGACCCCTGCCACATGGACAGTTTTGAACACATAGGTGAAGAATGGATCTCCCGCTTTTATGTGTGTTAGAAAAAGCCACCATTGAATAGGTGTGTAATCTGTAATGTAATAAAAAGACAGGAGAATTTATTAGTGCTGTAAATCCTTATGAAATTTGCTCTGGACTCGCATAAAGGCTTCACTGCAAAGAAGCTGCTTTGGTTTGGTTTAGCACATCCTTCTGCCTGTTTACCTAGTCATTGCTTTCCATTTTCCCTGAGGGTTTTTCCCCACTCTACTTGCCAGAGGAGGCTGAGCCCTTCCTTAGGGTGGACCAGGCTCAGGTTTCAGATGGCAGCTCCCATTACTCCCTCAGTGCTGTGGCAACTTGTGGGATCCAAGCCTTTCCTCTTCCCACCTCTTGTCACCAGCTGTGCTCAGCCCCAGCTGCTCCTGCAGGCTGCAGAGAGGCTGTGGCTGCTCCTGCCCTGCAGCTGGGAGAGGAAGTGGAGGGGAGAGGTGTCTGCACTCCCTGCCCTGGCCTCCAGGTTGGCCCTCAGAGCTGGAGCCCTGGACTGAAACCTCCCCTGGGAGCAAAACACCCAGCCTGGGGTTGGGGGTTTTCTCCATGTCCCTCTTTGGCCCCTGGGGGTTTTGTTCTCCCTTGGTGCAGTCAGAAACCCAAGGACACCAGCACCACCTGGCCCTGGCACAGAGAAGCCAAAGGCCACTTTTCAAAGTCATTTCTGTTTTTCTGGGTGCCCACTTTCAGACACTGAGAATCCAGACAAGTCCAAGTGAAATCAGTGGGAGCTGCAGGTGCTCGGCCCTGTTTACAGTTGCAAACAGACTCCATCTGATGCTGGACACCTCAAAACTTGCCACCCAAATGCAAAACCTATTCTTTAAAGTTTGTCCCTCCTTGATTTATGTCAAAGATGCAGGGGGCCAGTCTTGGAACCAGGAGTCCCAGCTGTTAGCTCCTAGCTCTGTCCAACAGGCCTGTCCAGCAGCACTGCAATTAGTAATTAGTTAATATTGCCAAGGGCTTTGAAGAGGCAGAAGCCAAACTGTGCTCTGAGGGGGGCAGCAGTAGCATTCTCACCAATGCACCCACTATGGAGTTGATGCAATAAGTCAATATTGAAGTTCTCTAAATCTCTATGGTCACATATTTGTGTCTTTTTTAAATACTATATTTACAGTAGATTCAATCCCTGCCAAGACCCTTGGAATCTCAAAGCAGATTTGAGCTACTTTGAAACCAGTGAATAAGAATCATTAGATTCCAGTATTTGAATATTTGTGCAATCTCTGACATAGGGCCTTTTTGTCCTATGCCAAATCTTTATTTTTCTTCAGTTCTTCCACCTTTCTGATGCCAAACAGTGCCATCTGATGCAGACATAGAATGCATAAGACGACAGGGCAGAAGTTGAACGTGACCCTTAATTATATGT